GACAGACCCAAGACTCTCCAGGTTTTGAGGTGGAGGAACCGGTTTTGATGCGTCCTACATTCACTTCTTGGAATATTACAGATCTCCACGCCAAGTGCTCCAGACCCAGCTATACTGAATGTCCAGTGCTTGCACGTCTAGATTTCCAGTATTTCATCCCACCAACTCTACTTTGATACTGCTGTCAGGAATCAGCTGTTGACTGAGATGGATGGCTTCGAGGCAGGAGCCCATACTGTGGACTGTCCATCCCCGGAGTCAATCCCACCAAGCTGAGTCATTGCCTTCTGCTTTTTGTCAACGCCAAGGAACGGCCCAGCTCATTTTTCTTGAAATGATTTTAGGGCCTGGAGATGCGCTGCTGCCAGGCCAACAAGGGCGTCGTTGTCATTGCGGCCACGAACCGAGCCGCCCCTTGAACGCTCTAACAGTTAACACTTGGTACCGAAGGCCATGAATTTTGACAAGTCATGATAGGTGCAGATGGAGGATGGTGGTGGTGGAGGTTGCGCTAGTGCCAGTAGGGGTGTTGGGTCGAGGTGATGCTGGTGGCATCCGCGGCGGTTGGAACATCGGCTAGTTTCAGGGAAGTGCCAGAGTGTGTATGCAATCCATGTTGGTGATTACAAAGCCGAACCAAAGTTTTTGCCTCCAAGATGATGGCCCCGCTTTGGACCAAGCGGTCCTCTTATATTCTTATTATACCGCTATTACAGGGTGGGGGGTCCTCCTAACGTATATCCCACCAAGCAACAGTTCAACCCAGTAAACGTCCGAGGACATCCTGGACCAGGCCCTGGTTCGACCTGGCCGATTCGACCGTCAGATTCAGGCCTTACAGGGGTTTAGGGTGAATTTAGGATCTGGGGTTTAGGGTTTAGGGTTCAGGTATAAGGGCTTAAGGTTTTAGGGATTAGGGTTTAGGGTTTAGAGATGAGGGGTTTAGGGCCTAGGGATTTGGATTCAGGGATATATATATATATATGTATAGATGCACACACACATTTATCTAGGGATATTACCCCAAAACTGGAGACGTGAATGAAAAAGTGTACAATCTCGAATTAAATGGAGGTTTGTAGGGTTGGGGCTAGGAAGGAAAACATTCAAGGTACAACCAGGTCATAACATCCATCACGCCATAGTTACTATTACAAATATCAGGAATGTCTCGTAATACGCCTACCTTCTCTTCAGGGCGACAAAACAGCCATGTATGATGTCGCTTGAGAGCTGGCAGGTGGACCCTCCTGATGTCCAGGGCCGCGCTGAGATCCTGAAGGTCCATGCGAAGGCCGAAAGAAGATTAACACAGAAGCAGAAGTGATGATCAGAGGGTTAGGTAGTGAGAGTTCAAGGTGTGATCGGCTCTAATAGTGTTTGGATGTGTTTGGGTTCAAGGGATCAAGGCACCATGAGGTGCAGGGTTCAACGTCGTCAATGGTAAGAGGAGAAGAAGATCGATAGTGGCGGCAGCTGCCGTACTAGAAGACCGTAAGTGCGATGGCAGATCTTCGCTGCTCGTATCATTGGACAAATCCGAACAATCATAAGTACATGGTGTTAATCATAAAGCAATCGCGACTACAGCGCCACTGCCCTGGGGTGATTTCTGAAACTGCAAGAGCATCTTACCTGTGCTTTGTGGGAATTTGTTTCCTCATAAGCGGGGCAAGTAACTGAGGCGGCCTTTCCTGCACCGGCCATGCTGAGAGGGTGGTAGTTCAGTTGATGACATAACTGTATATGTATATACATATATATGTAACTACTATATATATAACCCATTATAGTAGTTATCTATATACATATATATATATACACCCAGTTTGGGGACTTCAAGAGTTGACCATGTGATCAGTGTTTTCATTCCCGATTTCAATCAGTACCTCAATACCTGAAATCCCCTCCCCCGCGCATAACACCATGAGTGTTCTTCATGGACATGACCTTTTGTGTCGAAAGCATGTCGGTACTTGGGTTTGAGGCTAAGGATCTTTGTGCAAAGGGGTTAGAGAACAGTACGCGGCTTTGCAAAGGGTTTTGCTTGCTGATTCACGAGAAGTAGTGTGAATATTTCATTTGGGATCTTCCAAGCTCTTGCGGTCATATGCCGGGGATCTTTGAACATCGCCCCTGTGTTTTAAAGCTTGACTTGTTCCCCCTTCTGCCATGTTATTGCAAGAGCGAACTAGCGGCTCTGCAGGTGAGAGTTCAGGCCTCTCATTTTCCTGGGAGGGGGCTTCAGAACAATAAGTGCAAACACCCTTCCAACGCAGCACCTTAACTTGTTGCAAGATGGGGGTTGTCAGCTGGAAGGAAGCATAATTGTCTTCGTAGCCTTGCCTCTATGACCAGCTTTCCCTGGCATTGGTAACTCCAGCCACTGAATCGTTTTTGTCTACAATGTCTAAGAAGCTTGCATATTTGACTTGCCGAGTGAGCCCAAGATAAGGCTCACTCTCATTGAATATGCATCACACAAAATTGCAGCAGTCTCCAATGTGTTATTTGCACTTGGGCAGCCCACTTGTCTAGCGTCATGCACCATCCTTGTAAGACTGCCCTTGATGATTGCAGCGTCCTTCCTAACCTCCACCCCAGCTTCACGTATCAGACAGAACACTCAACCCGCCACCCCAGACTGCCCATACACAACTCCATGCCAAAGCCTGAACCAGGGCAAGAACCTGGCTGCTGGCGTTGACCTCACTGCCATTGCGCGTCAGACCCCAGGCGCCCAGTCCCCGTCTTGAGGTTCACCGAATTACGATGGCTACTGCGTTGTATTAAGATTTGGCAAGAATGGGCTAGAACATGCAGGATACAGAGTATGGATCATGGAGCTGAAAGACAGGTTTTCACATCGGATAGACTCATGTTTGGGCTGCTGCTGTTGTTTCTGCTGAGATAGCATGCGAGCTTCAACGCACAAACTAGCCTGTCTTGTGATCGGGAGCAACACAGCTCTATTCCGCACACGCGGAATGTAGAGGGATTGCACAGGCGGCCTCATCCTGTCTCAAGGTCCGAACTGTGCAAGTATTGCGACCGGCTGGACAGCCTTGCCCAAAAAACTGTATCTGCAGAGAAGTGTCTTGGGCTGGCTACCGTCATTACAGGAAGTTGTCCCTAACCCTTGGAAGTACTTTCCCAATGCTTTTGCTAACCTAGACTCCCTCAAGGTGAGTGGAGGGGAGGGAAAACCTCGAAAGTCTTGATTTCCATGAGGCATGTCCGGTGCGGATCTGGCAAACCTACTGACGCTTGGAGACAGTAGAAGGTTGGAGCCATGGACCTCACATAATAGGGTATGTAATAGGGTATATTATTGGGGTTATATTGGGATAATGGAAAAGAAAATGGAAACTACAGGGATTGTAGAGATTATTTTGGGGTGATAGTATCTAACCGTAGTTTTGAGTGAAGGAGCTCTTGTTTAGCAGGGTTGGGGCTTTCTGGGACATTGGAAGCCCAACGCAAGACGATTTTTGAATATGTGTAGGGCGGCCAATTTTTTTCGCTGACAGAAGTACTAATAGTATAAACGAGTTTTTTTAACCTGGGTATGAACATCTCAAATGCCGAGTCATATCTTCATGGCTGCCCCTTGGCCAAGCCATACAGTGGAGATGGCATGAACAGTCCGTTCTGCCGCTTAGATGTCCGGGTGTTTTAGATAAGCCGCCCCCAAGACTTTAGCGCTCATTCAGCGGCCCGCATTATGGCATCAGGCCAGCAAGTCAAACTTCCCAGATATGAATGCAGTTCGTAGAAACCTTCCGATGCCTATGGTCCTTCGGCTCTACAAGATTCATGCAAGGAACGAGGGCGCCATTGTCGCAGCGCGCCAGAACAAGGCCGGCTCAACAGTTCACACTTGGGGCCAGGGCTTTCAGGATCGGACTGGGGCTGCGGCTTTAGAGGCTTCACTTTTTTTTTAGTTGAGACTTGTGGAGTAGGTCTATGATACGCTGCCCACGAAACCTTTCCCATGATTTTCTTACGTCTTCATTGCACGCCTCACCCCGCTGTCTACGAGCCAGCCACAGCAGATGCTTGCGTTGCATCCCCGCTGAGTCCTGGGCTTGGAGCAAGCCTGCGCGTTCACATCTTTCGGTTGAAAGTCAGGTTGTGACACGGTTTAGCGTTCTCCTCCTCACCTGTCCGGAGACATGAACGCTTTCACTCCCCTAGCTCGAGAATGCGAGGCTGCAAACTTGATGCACCCTGTATTTCGTTGCCCTTGGAATAAGTTTCTGTGTTACGCTGCAGTTAAAACTCGTCTCAAAAACGTTCATGACGAGGGTTTACCTAGATTCCACTTTGCATTCAATGACCTGCAGCAATCTGTTGCCTTGCTCCAAAGTTCGGATCAGAATCCCTTGCTTTGCTGAACAAAAGTTTGGATCATTTTCGTTGGGTATCCCTGCTCCTACGTCTCGAGCTTGCTGGCCTTTCAGTTCTCGTGGTCCCTTCCTCTCAAGCAAAGAGGGTGGGATGGCAAGGCGAGTCTAGACACAGAAGGTCAGGGTCAACGCGTCTGATCATTCTTGTTGGCTCTGCAGGCAGAGATTGACGCTGACGATATCTTCAATGCGCTGGAGCGCATTGCCATTGGCAACTCGGCTGTGCAAGAAAAAGCCTTGGTGCTCGATTGACATTCGTTACCGTCCATGCTACTTGTATTAGCTGCCATTGCTCCTTGGTGCTACCACCATCCCCGGGGAAGGCTGTGCATGCTTTACTTTTGCTAACTCAGAAGTTCAGCGTGTCAGAAGATTCAGTAGATGAGCAATCAATAGAGGACTGGACAAGCATGGATCTTCTGTTGTGGCGTCACCTTGGAAACTCAACTCTAGATTCCTGTAATTTAGCTTGTCCTCCAACATTCAAGCAATAAATGTTCTGATCATGATTACTAGTCTGGATATTGCCGCTATTGCTGATGATCTGCTTGCAAAGAAGCTGCTGCAGGTCTCGAGAAGAAGGATGCCGTCATGTCCGAGCAGAAGAAGAAGCTCGTGGCCTACCATGAGGCACGTAAGGGATTTGTGAGTGCTGGGCCGCAAACTGTGGAGATCAAAGCCTGCCCCAAGTGTGAGTTACCCTTCGGTTAGCTTAAGCCGAGGTTGTGGGCCATTGAGATTCGAAAGTAAGTCACAGAATCAACAGTTGAGTGCAGACCGGGATCGTCTAATTCTAGTCTATCGGGGCGGGGAGGTTAAATCGTGGGTCTCCATAATGCGTGACGTTGGAAACAGCTGAATACAAAATACCGCATTTACAAAAGGGACACTAATCCCTCCACCGGCTGTCCTGGTGCTTATGTTGCTGGCGTAAAGAATCCTCTAATCTTGGAACAATATTGACATTGGGTTCAGGGAAATGGTTGATTATAAGGTTGGACCCCGGCATGCGATGATGGTTTTGGGGTCTGCAAAACAGGCTGGCCATGCGATCCTGGGTGCGTTGATGAACGATTATGACGTGGTGGCAAAGATCAGCCGCTGCGCAAATTAGATCCGGGAGGGTGTCAAAATAGAGCTACCGTGAGGAGGCTGGGTTATCAAGAGATTCTAAGGGCTCTGGGTTTGGTTACGGAGTATAGGCTGCTTCTCCATTAAATCAGAACCGTACAGAAGGCAGGCAACTGCAGAAAGGGTTTCAAGTGAGCTTACACAACACTCTGAAGTTACTACCCCACCAATGACAAACATCTCTGACTTTTTCAGGATTTTAAGTTGGTACCTGGTCCCCAAAAACATGTGGAGTGGCCTTTTGGGCTCTTTTCAAGGTTTTGGGTCGACATTTTGCCTAATTCTGCGGTCTAGGTAGTAATTTAGTACAGCAGCATGAGGGGCTACCTCGGCTCTTTGCCCTTTGCCCAGGCATTGTGCCACGTGGACCAGCAGGTGGCGTCACGAGCCTTTGACAGAATGTTGCCACTTCTCGGAAGGGGAATCCCCCTCAAAGTCCACTAAGCAACTACGTAGAGCGTCTCAGACGAATCCCTATAAAAATACACCTGGGACCCTAGAATGCATTCGCAGTATTGTAGTTCTCAGGCACGAAGCCCCCAGCTGTATTCCGAATGTAAGACGTCCCAGAATGGTACTTCCTCAAATTGCGAATTACCCAGCATGGACGCCGTCTTGAAGGTCACCAGACGGATGGCTCTTCCGAAGGGAGCGCTCTCCAATAGAAAAATTCCCAGGATCCCTGTCAAAAAACCAAAGCCCGGGACCCGCATGTTGCGATGCCTTCAAGAAGCACCTGGAGCTTTTTCAGAAACCCACAACCCAAAGAAGGAGTCCGTTCGTGGGAATAGAAACTTGCTTGTATGGTCTTGGTCAAGGTTTGATTCCTAACCGCAACCTTGAGCCATTCATGCAGGTTGAAGTGAAACCCTCCGCCCAAAACCGTCCAAACCTCCCAACCCCCACTTCCTAAACCTGGGCCTGACTTCGCCGGGCAACAAGCCAAGTCCATCTAGGCTCTCAACCTCCAGAAAGCTTCATTGCTAGCAGATCAATAGCCAAACAGTACATGCCCCTTATGGAAGGATGCCAGGAAAAGGGACTCCCAAAGTTTTTACATTTCCTACTGAGAGCTCCACATCCTGAAGACGGTCTCTACACTTGAGCTATCCAACTTTACACTCTCAGCTTGGCAACCTGAACACTATAATCTTTAAGAATGCCCCCCAAACCGCGAAACTCCGCTAGTGTTCTATGTTAGTCTTGAGGGCAGGTAAGCCTCCAATAACAGCCCAAATGCGGATCGTCCATCGAATAGTTCACCGAACAGTTTCTTCGTAGACTATTGCGCGGGCTCATCCAAGAAAAGCTTTGAGCACTGTCCAATCCTTCTGCCAAGATCCAAAAAAGCCAGGGGCACCCTAGTGGTCTTATCCGCTGTCAACAGCAATGCTGGGCTACGCTCAGGTCCAGCCTTGAGCTGCGTGATGAGGGGAGAGCAGGAAAGGCCTCTAGGCCAGGCCGTGTATACTCTTCCCTGCGGCCCAGGATCTTCATGCCATCGGAGGATCGCTTGAACTCCGGGCTCTACTCCAAGGCCTCAACATTCCAAGTTCACCTTGATCCCACGAAATTTGAATATCGGCGTGCTGGGTTCTGGGATTTTACCTTTAAGTGAGGCCACCTTGGAATTTCTTGAGCTGTTGCTCAGACTGCTGGGGCATCTGCAGTGGGTGGCGACTATAATACAGGGAGGGGGTCAGGTTCTCATCTTCAAGAAGCACCACCATTGTTGCTAGTTTTGGGTTCCACAAAGGTTGACCCAAGTCAAAGTCGTTCAGAATTGTCCTTATGAATTCTTGAGAAGGGACATATTTAGTCCCTTGATGGCTTTTTGTGAAAATCTCTTCGGTTACACCCCGCCGCAACCCATCTTCTCCTTACAGTAAGAGCTGCCAACAATTACACTTTAGAAATTCAAGATTTCAGGGTGTAGGCTTTCCTCGGGACAAGCAATCATACGCAAGCTTCATAGCGTGTAATTAAGGGCTCTAGAGCTGCGTGGATCCAAACTTTTTCCTGTTAGCCTGTGGGATGCGACATTCTGGCTTTGCTTGTATTACAGGGTTGGGCACTTGGAGCAAAGGAGTACGGAATTGGCGTGCTGTTTTTGACAGCTTTGGCAAGCCTTTTTGCCTGAGGCTGAGGTTCAAGTCACTTTCGGGCTTGGATGAGGGCAGGGTTGAGGGAGTGTTTTTTCTTGCTTCGGGTGTAAGGTGTAAACCCGAAAGCCAGAGTGTTGGGGATTCTTGGCTTAGTGTTCAGGATTCTCCCTGGGCGCAGTAAGAACCCTGAGCTTGCCACCACGGGGACATAGGATGTTCAGGTACAACTTACAGGTATATTATAGTATATTATAGTTTAGTAGAGTATATTATACTGAGTGTCAGATGGCAGAATGCAAATGTAGATGCGTCGTTTCAGAGCCTACCCTGGACGCAGGAGTTTTTGGAGAATCGCATGTGCGTTGCGCTTGGTGGGCGCCACCTGGCTGTTGCATAATGTTCCCAAATCAATCAAGGGGTTGTCTTGCAGACTCTTCTGAGACCCTGAAAAGGAGTGGTGAGTGTAGGAGGTCCTGCCATCATGTGATTTCCATATTGAGTGTTGGAGATCGCCAAACTGTTCGACTGCATTCCTCGCATGATTATTCATATGTGGTATCCGGCCTTGTATTCCAGCAGCTTCAAGTTTCGCCGGGTGCAAAACCGGTTACCGTAGATCCGTTTTCTGGTCGGTATGTCGTCAAGACTGTGCTGCTACTGGGCTAGGGACAGGGATTCTGCTCACACAATGGGACCTTCTATGAGAAAGGCCCATGCTATCTGAAGATGTTGAAGAGATGACAGTGGCTGTCTGATCCGGAATTATGTTTCGACCTAACTCCACATTGTTGCCAACGCAATTTTCATCAACGCACAGGGGACCATGGTGCTGAGCCACAAACTTGGAGGATTGGGGCATTCAGGGAACTGCCGGCACCAGATATTCCACGCATTTGTTTCTGCTTCGTGCGACCAGTATGTATGCTTCTCAAAGAAAATGAGTCTAGAGGCCTCATTTGCCTTTGCCATTTGCCTCCCATGCTTCAGAGTCCAAGCCGTCTTAAACAGGATTCCTTCATCCAATGCGTCAGTGTGCATTGGGGCAGCACCTTCCAAAGCCCGCAGACTAAAGTCTAAAGCCAAGAGAACCCCTTGGCAGCCTTGCGCTGTGTCAGTCCCCATGTTAGGCCTTTTTCGGGGTCTCTGTGATGATCTGAATGTCTTGGGGCACATAGCTAATGAGGTAAGGAAGCCATGGTTTTCAGATGCGCCCGCGCTCAAGCCTTTTAAAGTTACCTTTTTAAAGTTACCTCAGTTTGTAAGCTCTCTCTCATGGGAGCGCTCACATGAGAGAGTGGCGTGGATCGGGAGACTCCAAAGATTGGGAGCCCCCTCTTTTGATAACTTCCTGTAAGCTAGGTATGTGCCGAAATTAAGTACTGCGCAAGGTTGAAGCATGCGAAAGGCTTCAAAGGACCCTGGTAAGACTAGCCGCCCGCCTCAATATGCCAAAGCTGTAGTTTCTTTCGATGCCTCCACCCTAAAAGTCCAAGGACCCAAATAATAGGGCTTTAGGGCCCAAATACCATTAATAATGTAGTATTTGGGCCCTAAAACCCTATTATTTGGGTCCTTGGACCCTTAGGGTCCATAAGCTCAAAATTCACACGGATCAGCTGTGGGCTGAAGGCTTGGCTGAGGAGATCATCAACGGCAAGGACCGTAGGCTGTCTTGGGGGGCTATCTATATATTGGGGTTATATCGGGATTATAGAGCATTTTATATTGGGGTTACATTATAGGGATAACGGAAGAGTGGAAGCCACTATTTAGGTTTTAGAGTTGCGGGTATTCTCAACAAGCTTCGACATGTTCAGGATCTGGAGGGTTTCCGTAGCAGGTCACTGGCCCACCCACTCCAAGGCACGTGAACAATCTACCCATTTCGACAAGACGGGAGAATGCAGATGTCAGCTCTTTCAGCGGACAGCTGATTTGCAGAGCTGAGACTTGTGGCCTCTTAGCCCTGAAATACACAAAGCTTTTGGCAAAGCATCTGAAACGTGGTCAAATAGACGGTTTTTGCTTCAGGTACTGTGGGCCATGCAACAGGTCAAAAGGTAGACTGGACGTACCACTTACCCAGTCTACAAATCAACACATTGTCAAAGCTTTCTTTCCACGTGCAAGTCACTAATGTTAACGGTATCCTGTTTTCCAACAACTTCAGCTGAACTCGTTCAGCCTGAAACGCCCTGACTCGAAGTCCTGAAAAATGAGACTGCGTGCAGGACAACGTCACCACCGGCGCCTCCAACGACTTCCAGCAGTGCACACAGGTCTCTGTACTTTGTTTTACCGCGTCAGCGTTTAGGTTTAGGACTTGGGGGCTTCCAAAGCTCATGCCTCCGTTCCTTGTTCAAAGACATAACGCATGCAAGGACGAATCTCTGCAATTACGACGTTTCCAAAGGGGGTCTTGGAAAACGGTACAGAGGCATGATGTCAACCAGGCTTTATCCCTCTGCCGCCTTCCCAAGACTTTCACAAACGCCTGAAGGCGTTCGCAGAATGTAGGTTTTAATTTGGTGATGACAGACTCTGGACTTGCGATAGAGAGGAGGGCTGTGAGTAGGAAGTCCTATGTTCAAGTTCATCATGAGGTCTTAACTTCATGCCACTTGTGCAATCAAATTTTCGGGGCCTAAAGAGATTCTGATCTGAGTTGCCAGGATGTTCACTGACGTGCCCCACTGAAAGCCGGTGGAATCCTTTAACCTTCTACAGGCCCCAAATCTTCGAGCCCTCAACCTGCAATCTCTAAATCTGCATTCTACCGTTCTACCTGTTCTACCAGTCTTGGAAACTCGTCGGAATTCCAAAATATCTTCAAGGCTTAGGATTCAGAATTCGGTAGGAACAAGGCATTTAGGCGCCTGGAATCAAGGGGCCGCATTCATTCGTCTGACATAATTCATACGAGCTGCTAAATGGCACTTTTCGTTGCAGGCCCGTTTCCTTGATATCCATACCATCCGTCTTATTGCATGACTTCCATTCTTCTCATGATTGCGAATATCAGCGCCCGGAGGTTGCCAAGCAGATGGTGATGTCTTTGGGCATGTCCCCGGAGATTGGCCAGCGACTCCTCGGAGGCCTTGGAGAGTAGGGTGGGCACGGAAGGACCTCACAAGTCCTGTACCTCATGTGAGCTACTCTCATTTCAACAACACTTAAGGAACCCTTAAGAGTTGATATAGGGGTCCCTCTTTTAGGTTAGTATAGTGCTTAAATCTCCTTAATATGTTCCCCAAGCAGCAGCCCAAGGCCATGAATTGTAGCGGAAATGCTGGCTGTAGCTCATCTAGCTTCCTGCCGGGATGTGGGGCAAGCATGCCGGCCAGGTCAGACTTCAACCCGAAGCAAGACCTGAGGACCTGATGCCCTCAATTGCAACAGCTGTAACAGTCCCAAAGCTTTGGCAGGCCTCAGATCGAATGGTTCCACTCGCAGTCCACTGCTGCGAAGACCTAGCCTCGAGTTGAAAAGAAAGTGAGCAGGCTGTTGAACCATCCCATCTTGGCCTGTGTAGGATCAAGCCTTCAGCGCAAGCCTGGTTTGTATGTTGACCCCCCAATAAACAGATCATAGCCGTAGCCTTAAAGAATGTGACCTTGTTTCTGAATCCCCCCAAACCTGGGATAAGAACCGCAGACTCTGATCCCCAAAACGCAAACCTATTTGGTTGGAGCCTATGGCGCAACCGTGATTCCAAACTTGGACTCAAATCCCCACAGATCTTCCTAGACTCCCTGGACTGGACAACTCCTTGAGCCAAGAGTGTGGACACTGAATCCCATGTGCAAGGCCAGCAGGGTGGAGGCGGTCCCTTCATGGGCCGCAACTGGGCGTCAATAGTCACGCTACCTTACCAGCTAAGTTGGAACATGAGTATCTCCTAGTTCCAAATCCAGAAGACTGAAAAGCACCCTCATTCATCCTCTTACGGTTTTCTAGCTTTTGTCTTTTGTGTACGGATACCCAGGGTACTGCACGTAAGCATCTCCCATTCTCTCATACTGCCGCGTATCGCTGTTATCACTGTTTCGCGTCTCGTTGCTGTCATTTGAACCACCTGAACTAGTGTGGCAAGCTATGGTCCGGGCACAGGGTTTAGCAGTTTAGGTATGAACCAGGTTTAGAAGTTTAGGGTTTGTGTCTGGTTCTTCTGTGTCTGGTTCTTCCCATTTGGAAGATCTGCATGATCAGGTTGAAAGGTGTCCCCTGATGATGTGCTCAATAAGTCAGAACTATGGGACAGAGCTTGGCTGGGCATACTTAGTGTCATTACAGCAGTGTCCGTGGGCTTCTTTTTCGGAACACGTGAACACGTGCAATCTCCAAGCCTCATACTCCTAATCTTGAGAACACTAGACCCTGTAGACCCTAAGCTGCAAGCCTTGCGCTCAACCCACCTCGCGCACCTAAGGCGACTTCATGGGTCAGGGTGCCCCGCCCATGTCCCAAGCGCTGCCCCTGGGCTTTACAAATTCTGACCCTTGCAGAGTGGCAGGGGCTGGGTTAATATTAATAGTATGAATATGAATAGTATTAATATTAATACTAATATTAATATTATTAATACCAATATTATTCATAATATTAACATTAATAGGTTTATGGATTGCTTGTTTGGGGATGAGAGTTCAGGTGGGTCTCTGCTGGGGCTGTAGGACTTGGACTCCTGGTTGGATGCTTGTCGGCTGCAAGCTACTTGCTCCGAGACAGGATGCCTCACAACCAAAACTTGTTCTGACAGCCCAGCCTCGAGGCTTCGTAACATGGCGGGCTGCTGGGGGAGCCTACGTATGGGGGTCCCACCTCGCACCACCAAAAAAGCACGTCCTGCTCCAAACTAGGTTTGGGGTTTGCGGGGGTCCTGGAGGAAGAAGACCTCACGGGCGCGCATTCTCAAATTTGGAGTGGGACATGTGCTCGCCAAAGATGATCTGGAACCTTGCAACTTTCAATGGCCAAAGGCATCCAGGCGGAGAAGGTGTTGTAAAAGGTTTGTCTGATATACTTTCGAGTTTGAGTGTGTTATAAGTTTTACATGCATTACAAAGAGATACACGCGTATGTACCAAAGTCAGAGACGTTAAGCTTCATTGATTCTTCATGGATTTTTTGTTCGAGGTTTGCATGGAGTTTCTATCAGGCCCCGTGATACTTTGATTGAGTTGTCTCCAGGCCTGAAATAATCCTGAAGTTCCACACGCCTACTGAACCCTAAAGCCCAAACCTTCCCCATGCCTCAACAGCCTAAGCGACCAACCTCTTGCCCCAAGGAAGCAGAAGGTGGATGCTGAGATCAAGCGCATTGTTGACGAGCAGTGGCTCACCCCGCACAGGTAATGCTAGTCATGCCTCTTAATCAAGAACCTTTGTGATGTTCAAGGCAGGTATTCGCCTGCTTAAGAGGTGTTGATGCGACAGCAAGCGTGAATGCCCAAACAACAACTCCCTTACATCTGAAAACTCCGCGAGTGGCGCAGTGGCAGATTCTTCTTGGTATCAGCCGATGCGGATACGGCTCCTAAAGCTTGAGGATTCCAAGTAGTACAACACAAATCAGGTTTCGAGTTCTCCGATAATCAGGGGTTCTGTTGGCTGTCCCTCCAACAGGGAGTGTGGCAGGTTGGGGCGTGTGCCAGGGGACACTTAACTGCGGGTAACACAATGGGTCGTTTGGAGATCCCAAGCCATCCTTCGACACGGTTGACAATGGGCGAGCCGCACGAGCTGTGGAAAAACCTTGTCTTGCGGACCCGCAGCCCCGAATTGAAATCCCTTCAGTGTTTAGTCTTCAACATGCAGAAGCTCAAGCCCTTGAATACGGATCAGTCTGCCACCATATGTAAGGTACAACCGTGGTATGACGCTGCTGCGAGACAACATGTGCCCGAATGAAGGGGTTTAGCTGGCGACGTTGGCAGTGCAAGAAGACCACCAGCATGATTTTGACAAGATTGCTTCACTCCACTTGTTTGTGCCGACCTCCCAGCATTTACTTTCACCCGGATATAGGATGTCTGAAGTTTTCGCAATGCCATCAAAGCGTGACCTCCAAGTTTGGATCTCACTCCTAGGATCAAGCTGAAGTTGAAGTTTGCTGGTACTCAATATCTAGAATCCAGAGTCTCGGTTTTGGCGTAACTTTTTCAGCAGCACGGTAAGAGCCTGCACCACAAACATGAGACAAGAGGTACCTCCTGGATGAACTTGCGAAGCAGCTCATGGAGGAGGAGAAGGCCCGAAAGCTTGGTGTTGGGAGTACACATCCAGAAGCACTGCTCCATTATTTAACAAGCACTTCTGAAATACTTAACAACCCACCTTCCTCATTAATGTCATGTACTGCAAAATGTCAAGTAATTGATGGATGGTTGTCAGTCCTGCAGTTGCACTTACTGCGGACAGAAGTTGGGCAAGTGATCAGGGGAAATGGAAGAAGAGGGGAGCGGAGGGCAGGATGCAGCGTATTGGAAGAAGGTTGGTTCAGGGGTGTGAAGGCGCATGTTACCGCATGTTGCACTACGGTACGACCAAAGAACTTGCAAATTTCATAGGCTGCTGGTCATTTAAATTGTGAGCTTCTAAACTTGTCAGGTCCCTAAACCCAAGCCTTGAGGTTTCCGGAGAGCAGCTCATGAAGCTCATCAACAAGGCCGCAGCAGAGGGCAAGCTGGCACCTGGCCAGCATTCAGAGGGCTCTCTTGAGTCCAAACTGGAGTTTCCCAAGAAGGATGCAAGGCGGATTTCAAAGCAACAGCAAATGCCAACATAAAGGCAGATAATGCATGGGCATTTACACGTACCTCGAAACATATTCCCCATGATCATACCCCCCATCCACAACTGCAGACCCCAATCCAAGGAAACATATTTGGATGTCTCCTAGCTGGAAGCGCCTGCATGCCCCAAATTATAGGACCTTAGCCGGGCCTCACGGGGTCCCCCCCCTTTGAGGTCATGGGCAACACGCAGATGGCTGTCGCTGCCTACGTTGGCGAGGTGATTGAGACCACCGCTGCGGAGGCTGCCTGAGTTGGATCAGGGCTCTTATCACGAACCATCGTTTGTGTTTGTATCTTTGGTGCGCTCTGTAGTTGCCTGGAAAACGAGAAGAAACTCTCAACGGAGAAGGTCGCAACCACATGATCGGAGCTATCCTCATTCTTGGCATTCTGACAGTCAATCGTTGAAGCTCCGGAAATTGATGGTTGCTGGGTGCTCCTAGGACGCTATGCGGAGAACCTACTTTTCCCGGGTAAAACTGCTGGTTGTTTGTAATGCTTGCAGCAGAGGAGCAAGGGCGCTGGTGAAATTTGCCTAATAGCCAAGCGCTCCACCACAGAGCTCCAATTGTTGTGCCCTGACGCCGCAAGTCCACGAGAGGTCTCGATGCCACGCAAGACACAGTGTGTCCATCCGGACAAGCCCATGATGTCTCCGGGCCTGAAGTGATGTAGGTCTGAGACAGGATAGGGGGTGAGGGATGGTTTTACGTAAGATTCTAAGATGATCCAGTGACAGTCTCGTCATGGCCGTTTCAGTTTCGAATAGAAGGCTACTGTGTGGCCCTAGTTGGTTTTGAGTTAAAAGGTCCGGGCCATGGGTAGACTACAAGCATTCTGTCTCCATCCCATACTTCTGAGAACAAGACTTGAAGCCTTCTCGGAAGACCGGTAACCAGATTTATGTGACCGTGCTCATGGCCTGCGGCGACCACCTGTACAATCTTCAAATACCGCAACCCCATCCAAAGAAACAATGTAGCCGGCATGTTGTTTTTTTCTTTTTTTGTTTTTCTGAGGGGGGGGGGGGTGGTTGGGAGTTGTTTTGGGGGAGTAAGCTTTCAAATTTAATTTCAGCCCTTCTTGGCTCCCTGCCTCCCTGAAGCTTGCGCGCTCAAGTTAAGTTCAGTGGCCAGCGCGGGCAGAAGTTCCAGTTTTGTCCCTCATCACTGTTCTCACCGCTGTAGTGCAAGCAGTATCAGTATCACGACAGTTGTTGCCCACCTGCTGCGTGTCATGCAGTCATTGTCACTCGCCGCTGATGTGGTTGTCGTATTATGGCATTACTTCCTCCCTCACTGTCGCGATCATTGCTGCTGATTTTGTGAAGCTGTTGAATATTGGTTATCACTGTTGTCCACACCTCTCAGGATACACGCTGTGATACGATGATGCTTTTAAAAATAGTCATGATGATAGCAATAGCAGCAATGATTGTACTACGAAAGATGATGCTTGTCTACTACAGCACCCATGGTCTTCACCACCATTATCATCTTTATGGTTTGTATGGCTTCGTTCTTTGCTAGCATTTCAACTGGCACATCTACTGCTATGTGGCCCTGAGCCTACCTTCCCTGTTCACTTCACCAAACCTCTGTCAGCGCCTTCACCGTGTATACCCCAATCCTAAAGCCCAAAGCCCACGCCTTCAGCCTCACACCCCGGATTAATCAAGCGGAGTCTTTTATTCTTGAATTCCATAATCTTGCACCCCAACCCAATACCCGGAAACCTAAACTCAGAGTCCCGACCCCCCAGCCATACCCTAAACTCTATAGCCCTGAACCCCATACCCGAAACCCAAACTTACTCGTTGTTAGTAGGGAAGAAGGCAATATAATCCCTATATACCATTCTCCCATTTTTCCTACTAAGAACAAGTAAGCCTGAACTCTATTTACCGAAGCCCAAAACTCTCAGTATTCGAGGTTCGCTTGCGCAGACTGCCCGCGCCGTGGCTTCTGCGGATCCACCCGTGCTGCACCAAGGGATGGCAAGGCCTGCAAATGCTTTAAAGGGGTTTGTGAGGGATATATAAGGGTGTATAGGAGTGTATGGAGTCATATAGGGTTTAGGGTTTCAAGAAATTAGGGATTTATGTTGGGATTACATATTTGAGGGTCCAAAACTCGGGACCGCTGTTCATGGAAACCTCCACTGTAGTTCCTTTGTAGATCCCTGGGGTATATGGTGACTATAAGAGCTGTGTAGGAGTGCTTGCTAACGGGATGATGTTTAGAAACATCCATAACATGAGACCAACAAAGTCTAGACTGGGGGCTATGAATATAGGAACGTCGTTGGTCATGCTTTTGTGTGGACCTTCAAGCATGCAACGTGCTGTGTTTTGAGCTGGGGAGGCTAGAAGGGAGGAATATCACAGCCCGATCAGTTGGGGTATTCTCCAATAGTCCCTACACATGTGTAGTATGGGAGAGTAGGAGGCTAGCGGCTAGAGAGACGAAGTTTGTGGTCTCAGTGTTCAGAGCTTAGGGTACGGGGCCCTGGGCGGGGTATTCAGGAAGTGGGGAATTCTCAGGCTTGTCGTGGATGGATTGTCCATCTTTCTTTTGGGGCTCCCGAATGTAGACTGCCCTGTCTAAAGTGTCGGCGTGCTGAGTTCTACGCTCGACGACTAAATTCTTGCAGCTTCGAGCTCTGAGACGTCTAAGAAATTCGAGTTTTTGTTGATGAGGGATTCTAAAGGGGGGACTACAGTGCATAGGGAAGATGCGGGAACCGCAATCAAATTGTTTCAAGAACCACGCTTACTATACCTCGAATTGCTTGCAAAAACCATGCTATGTGAGTGTTTGGAGCTCCACTGTTTTGCGGGCCTTTCAAAACATGGGGGTTCATTAGGTTGGGGTTAGTCCAATGTGCCGTGGAACTTCATGGAAGGTCACGAAGTTTGAAGGCCGAAGTGTGCATTTCCGCTTCTGATAGCGGAACGTCTGAAGACAAGCTTCACCTTAGACCCTGGGAAAGGCGTCCCGCAGTGCTGTCGCTCGCTTGGGACTGGCTACCCCTGAGGCCAGCGTCACGATTCCGGGATTCAGGAGGTTAGGCGTGGGAATACAGATTTACAGACGAGGGTCCAGGCGGTCCAGGTAGAAAGGACTAAGCTCTGTGGTGATGGCTTCAGGTTCAGCATTATATCTCCGAGTGCCCCTACCCCTCAGAACTAGCTTTGTTTTGATTCCGGGTTTGGGAAACTGGGCCGTCTGGGCCAACAGGGTCTTAGGATGTTCAAGTCAAATCTAGCGCAGGCTTGAACGTGCACTTTGATTTCATCTAGAGATAACACCTTTCTTGCTGTAGCCAGGCATAACATCTAGAAGTAGCAGAAGCATGGCAGAAACAGAACTGGAGTGCTCGTTATGGAAAAATGTCGGCCAGGAAGCCTTTGGCCCCCAGCCTAGACCCCAGACCTTTTTTTGGAGGATGGATGGCCGACGCATATCACTCTTGTTGAGAAGCAATGCTTCTTCTTAGGCAATAGGGCTCCGCCTCGATAACCTGCAAGAAATGTAGATCCGCACTCACACTAGGCACGCATTTTCAGGCATACCCTTGTTGGTTTTAGGACCCATCTCTTGTGCAAGCACAGAATATCTCCCAGTACAAAGCTGCCAAGATGAAGTCATCATCTCTAGGACTTTCAATCCCCAATGTAGCCCTATGTGTAGCTCCCCAAAAGCCGTAGTCTCCTCAGGAATTCATTTTCACCTCTATCATATTATAACTCTAACCCTCCGGAATTAGTAACAAGTTCCATTTTTCATATGGGACAGGGGGATTACAGAAAGTGCCCCTATCAGTTGGATAAACCCCACTGGCAAGGCCGAAAGCCGTGAGACCACCAGCGAGGAACCTCCAAGCTGCAGAGATTGCTGAATAATGGAAAAGAAAATGGAAACGATTATATTATATAGGGATTATATGTATATACATATAGGGGTTATATAGGATATATATATATAGGGGTTATGTGGCATGGACCTTTAGGTATAATGTGACGACTTTTCCCTTGAAGTATTTATGTAAGGATGA